TTGACGGACAAGATCACAGAAGCCTTAAACTTTTACTTCTAAGGTAACTTATTGAAATCAAATTGATCAAATTGATCGAATTTTACCAAAATATAAAGCGATATATTAATATTATTATTAAAAAAATAAAATTTTCCATAAAATGGGTTTTGTGCACAGTCACGCGACTTTTTTCTATTCTAAATTCAATTGAAATAGCAAGTTTCACAATATAAAAAAGATTGATGATCGATTTTGTCACATGTGATAAAACGAATGTCCACTATGCTTACTTATATAGAGAGTTTATATTAAAATTCATTATATCAAGAGCAATTTGTATATAATGAAATTGGAATTTTTCTAACTTCATTATATAGTACGATTCACTATATAATAGGTTCACTATATCGAGAGCCAACTGTATGTGAATGCCTCCACCCAACAAATATTCATGATAGACATGATTATTATTCAATACATTTGATATCATCATTGACATAACAAACAATTGCATCACCCAGGTAGTAACATTACCAAGGCCATGCATAAACAAACTTTTAATAATGCGTGTCTACCCAGATCTCTGAGGTTCACAATAATAAATTACTTTTGCTGATTACAATTATGGTTGCTCATGAATAATAAATCTGATGTTGATCATAGGTGTCAGATTTAATTAAATTTTCCTATCACCAACATGCAATGTGGTGCTCTTAACACACCTCATAACTGTAGATTTTTTTCCACAGGGAGGTTTCACACATGTTGGAAGGCTTTGGACAAAACATTCCCTATCTTCCCCTCAGACCAGGCTTGACTGCTACCATATGGGCATTAATCACTGATAGCTGGTGCTTGCTTTGTGTTATTGCCCTCTCTCACTAGAATAAAGTTGATTTAAATAACAAATTCAGTTGGTCAACAAAAATTAAAGAGAAACAGAGAATTTATGAAAATGATTAATTTATAACATAACATACCAAAATCCAAACCATTTTATGACCTTTTCTTGTTGGCCATATTGCTGACAAAGATGTATATAATCATGTGATAATTTTAACCTACAGGACTAGGGGACTGATTGGACAAAAACCCATCCCAGTCCCCTATCCAAAATTATTAAATTGGTTAGAATCAAAAAAACAAAGAATTTAGGAAAGTGATTATACAAAACAAACACTATTTACAACTTTCCTCTTAACATCAGAGTCCAGATGCAATTTCAGGGCCACAAACCCTGCTCTGAATTGTGACCTCCTGTGCTTGAAACAAGCTGCAGATTTTCTTAATATTCCTCCAGAGTTGCAACTTGATCACAGTGCCATCCTTGCCCTAAAGTAAGGATCATTGCAGGCAACTTTTCGACCAGCACCTACAGGACTAGGGGACTGATTGGACAAAAACCCATCCCAGTCCCCTATCCAAAATTATTAAATTGGTTAGAATCAAAAAAACAAAGAATTTAGGAAAGTGATTATACAAAACAAACACTATTTACAACTTTCCTCTTAACATCAGAGTCCAGATGCAATTTCAGGGCCACAAACCCTGCTCTGAATTGTGACCTCCTGTGCTTGAAACAAGCTGCAGATTTTCTTAATATTCCTCCAGAGTTGCAACTTGATCACAGTGCCATCCTTGCCCTAAAGTAAGGATCATTGCAGGCAACTTTTCGACCAGCATGCCAGCAGCCATCTCTGGTCTGGAAAGATAGTGAAAGTGTCATTGACAATTGATGCAGTCTTGGTAAACTCCAGATCCACATGCCTTCTGGAATTCTGTTGCATCATCATATATTTGGGTCACCAGGTCAAGATTAGCCTTGCATACATGAGGAATGTGTGAGAATGACTGTAAATGTGTTCAAGGTAGCATGCATGCTTCAACGCTTGTAAAATTTCTGATAATCAAACATTGCATATTTGAATTGTTTTTTTTTCAACAGTCAATGCTGCCTTGACATCTTCTTGTAATTATATATTAATATTAGTATTATTATTATTATGATTACACAAAGCAAAATATTATCAATGAAAATCTTGTAATCACCCAGCAAGATCTGCTCTGTGTTTTGATTCCAATTAAAATATTTATAAGCTAAAATAAAAGACACCTCATACATATCAATACAAATAAAAAAAAGTACCTCTGGTTAGTTATTAACACGTATTCTTTAGGAGACCTAAACCAAACAAACAACAATGTTCACGTTTTGTCACCTTGGAAAAACAATTTATTTATTTTTTTACAGAGTCCAAAAAAAAAATCATTCGTGTCTGTCCTACCAAAAAAAAAACCAATAGGATAAATAATTAATGTGTACGCATTGATCAAATAACAAACTTCTTTTATTTTAATTTTTTAAAAAATGTCTTCAGGAAATAAAAGAAGAAACAGAGAAAATGATGCTGTAAATGCAAAAGGGTAAGTGTTTTAAGGATGGTGGTGGTTATCGCCCACCACTCATCGTTACTCTAGTTAGCTATTAAAGAATGGTAGTAGTAATCACGATTGTCATTCTAATTCTAGCTGTTAAAAAGGATGGGATGGTTTGATTCACAATTGTTACTCTGTTATTTTTAAATTATTATAATAGGAACGATCACAAAAAACATTATCTTAGGGATTGTACTAATTCTCCAAGGACTATTCTATCAAAACATATTAATATTATTCATAACTCGATACCTCAAAAGAAGTGGCCCTTCAATTATGCATTTGATAATTTTTTAAGCAAACATAATTCTCATCTCATTACCATTTGTGACTTTCTTGTTTGGAGAATTCACAATAGCATTTGTTTGCCTGTGGAATCTTTTGCAAAGGAATCATCTCAATTTAAGACCAGTTTGCATAATCTTCAAAATGCAGAAAATTGGACAATAGAAGAGATAAATGTTAGCAAAAAGGTATTAAACATTAACAAATGGTTAAAGTGAATTATATGACCTGAAATACTCTAACACAACAGTGAATTTCCTATATCATCAATTAGGATGTTATAGCAAATCATGCAATTTTTTTTGTAATCTAATGACAAATACTAAAAACTTTTAAATTTTCAAAATCATCAAGTTAGTAATAGGGTTTTTATTCACGAATATTATGAATATCATTAAGGGTGTTACACACTATTAAAACAGCAAAAAATCCCTTAAAAACATGAGTTGATCACTTGATTT